AATCCTCAGCACTGGATACCATTATTGTGAGGGGTGAGTCTGGGAAGTCTGGAGACAGCTCAGCTCCCTCTCTCTGACCTCACAGTCTGATGGGGAGAGTCCAGCACTTAATGCCCAGGACCAGGAATGCCCAAATAACAAGAAATAGACTGGGCCTTGAGGACGCTCCAAATACCAGGTGCTGTGAATTCTGTTGTAGCAGCCAGTGCAGTAGGAGGAGACTTTGGGGGCAAGCAGGGCTTTTGTAGTGAGACTGTGTGGGGCTTAGGTGGTGTAGAAGGGATGGGTTGGGAAGAGTTCTGTAATGTGGGAGAGAAGGAGTTTTACCTGAAGAAGAGCCACCTGCCCTTTATGGTCCCTCAGAGCATGACGTTGAACTCATAAGAAAGTCTGCTTTATTTTTGTATCCCTGATACTTTAAATTAACTGTTTAAAAATGGAGGGGAGACAAGTAGCCAATTTTAACTCATTTGCATCCGCAGTCACAAGCTAAGTCAGCAGCAGCTGCAAGAAAAAAGGCCTCCATTTTAGTGTGGAGCTGAAGGTCACTTCACATTCTGCTTTTGGAATCAACCAACCAGGAAGAGGCAGACGCTCTCTCGGCTTGACTTCCTGTCCCAGACTATGCTTACCTGTCCTGAGTATCTGCAGAGAGTGTATGTTTATGATTTTTCACTACCAATTTTGATATAAAACACACTGGCCGCTTAGGGGTGTGTATGTGGTGGGGACAGTTTTAACGCCATCTGATCATCTTGCTGGTGACTTAGGGAATTTGTCTCAGGCTAGTCTTTCCTTTGGCTAGAACCTGTGCAGATCTATACATGCCTTATTTTAGGGTATTTGTCACCTCAAAATTTGGTGACAGTATCAGTGGATATAAATGTACAACTGCCTTCCTGTGAGGTGCTATAAAATAAATATTAAAAAATAGCTCATGATGCTTGCAGAAGTGGGAACTTATGGGGGCAGCAGGGAGTCCCTGGAAGGGCTAGAGAAAGGCTGTACCCCATCTGTGGGTGGGGACGAGGGTGTTACCATGAAAGGAGGGGACCTGAAAGGGGAATGAAAGTGGGGAGCCCTGAAACCACACGCCCTCTGCCCACAGAAAGCCACAGGGATAATGTCGATGAGGAAGCTCAAGCAGGCTCTAGGGAAGCAGCAGAGTGAGATTCCATTGGCCAAGTATACCAGAAAGAGGTATGACCATTAATGTTCTTTGTGAGTCTTGAATATCATATGGTTGTGCCCAAGTTAAGAGCATTTGGTTGTCCCCACTTGGCATGTGCGTGGGAGAGGCCTCTGAGGAAGTGTCAAAAGCTCACCTCAGGCACAAGGGAGTGGCAGAGTGGAGAGAGAAAAGGCTTGGTACCAACTCATGAAGGGAGACAACGGTAACAATAAAACAACACCCCTAAACCTTTGGACGAGTCACACACTCTACCTCATATCTAGTTAGTCTGAGAAAACATGGGAAAGAAGAAGTGAAATTTGTGAACTATACTGAGATCCATGCAGTTTACTTCAGGGGACAGTTTTGGTACCAAATTATCCCTATTATGCAAATTTCCTCCCCTCGTGGCTGGTTCCCGGTTGTGTCTGGGGACCATGGTAGGCACATCTGCTTCCCTTGGTGCCGACTCACTGAGTCTCCAGGGCCCATCTGCTCTGTCCTTGGCCGAGTGCCTGCTGCTAAAGGGAGCATGGGCCAGGGGCTCATGCCTCTACACTGACCCACCAGACTTGTTCTTTGAGGTGGAGCTTGAAGTATCCTGATATAAGCAGCTCTCTCCCCAGACACCTGCAGAATCACTGGAGACAGGGTCAGAGGTCAAGGATGCCCACTTCGCTCCTGATCTTGGCCTGGTCAGAAAGTAGAAAAAGTCAGGAGACACCCAGAGAGGCTCTCCTTCCTTTTTTTGGACAATCTGGTTAAGAACTTGGCACCAGCTGAGATTTGGCACCATGTTGCTGAAGCACTGGTCTTTGTTAGGTGCCTTCCTGAGGTTGGAGCCTACCTGTGCCCACATGATCGCTTCCTACACACTCTCTGCCTTGGTATCCTCTGGAGCATCCTAGCACCTGGCTCGGAGGCCTTCCTCAGCTGCGTTCCTCATTTGGTCTTCCTCAGATTTGTAATTCGGTCTCTTTTTTTTTTTTTTTTGAAGATGAAAACTGGGGATGCCTGCTCAATTGGCTTTTCTTCCACCATGGACCATTTTCATTTTCTTTACCTGCTTTTTCTGTTCCTCTGCCCTGTCCCAGATCTGTTTTCTACTCCATAGGAGCAGCCCCAGCCCCACTCACAACTTCCAAGACAGTCTGAGTAGACAGTGCTGCCCAGATACACCCGCTGTGCGTTGGCACCGACAGATGTTCCACAGCTGTCTTAATTAAGCAAGACCTGGCTTCCCACTCCTGGCTCTACCCACTTTCTTTTTCCTCTTGGTTCTGTGAGTCAGTGTGCCGGCCCTATGCCACTTACCCCACTTGCTCTGGGGGAAGGTCTCAGGGACAGTGACTCTCAGTAAGGACAAGACTGAGAAACAGATGTCAGATGCACCCTGGGGGCAAATATGGTGAGCACCAGGCTGAGGGCTGCTGTGAAGGCAGGTTTCTAGATGCAGGTCTGGGGGGGGGGGGGGGGGGGGGGGGGGAGTCAGGAGCATCAGATTTAACCCACTTTTCCTTAAAAGGAACATTCCAGAATGAAGCAGGAGCCAGTTGAAGAAGGGGTCTGGGTCAGGGCCTACAGCCATTTCTACCTCTGCCCAGCACCACCTTCCTGGGAGACTCAGGCTCCCAGGTGAGCCCTGCTGCTTTGTCTCTCATCTGTCCAATGGGGCATGGCCCCACCTTCCAGGGTAATTGTGAGGACTTGGGTAAGGAGAACTCATCAGTGTTGCTGGTTACACGGGAGGAGAGGCCTGGTGCTTCCTGACTACAGCTCTCTGGCCTCTGTGACAGTATTATACACATGTCAAACAAAGCAGGAGTATTTGAATGACCCAGCCCATTTCTCTCATTTTGTCAGATTTAATAACTTTAACTCCAGCTTTCAGTGACGAGGAAAGGAGCCTCAGGACATTTAGACCCTGTATCCACTGTCACACACCTTTAACCTGTAGTGCAAACATTCAAACATAGGCTTGTTCTCTCCAGATTCCATTCTGCTCTTAACGACCAGACCGTACTCTCGGGGGCATGCCCAGAGGAATGCCCACCTCATGTTCCTAGCTGAGGAAACTGCTCTCCGCTTTGAAACTTCAGTGGCATCCCTGACAATCTGTGGGTAGGAACAGTAACTTGGTCAGGTCCTTGTTTTCACAAATCACTTGGGAACCCCATAAAGGTTGGACTGCAGTAAGGAGACTCAGGAGGCAGGAGGGCAGTGACAGAGACCAAATTGTTCGACACAGAGTTGCTCAGGAAACACATGATAGCTGGCATGTGGCCTTCTGTCTCTGTAGAGAGACAGAATAGCAAAGCTCTCCCTAGGGGACTGATTAGGTGCTGAGGGTAAGCCATGTGAGCCCCCCATCCTGGCATCTTGCAGGGCATCCCCCCCCTTTCAGGGTGGTCACACTTTAAGGCCTGGCTTTTCTGAGTAGCAGAATGGACATTTTGATTTCTTACCCAATTCTTCTGTCTGCATCTAAGCTGTTTCAGACACACGTGGGAAGACATTGTTCCTTTATCCAGACAACTGTGAATTCAGACTCAGAAGAGTCAAGGCTATATTATAACTGGTCCTCAGTGAACTTGGATTGATTGATTATCTGCTTAGCAAGCTGAAGGGCTGGCCCCATGCCTCATGACTGGGAAAGGAGGGTTATCCCATAATACCTTCAGCTCCAGAATGCTCAGTAAGTGACCCTCGAAGCTATAGTCAAACTACATGGGCAGGAAAGGCTGGGGTCTGAGATGCATCTGAGAGACCAGTTCTGGGACACATAGGAGTCTTGATACCCGATGGGCTGTTGTTGATGAATTTGGAGCTGGACCTCTTGTGTGCTAATCCCAGAACAGGTTTGCAAAGGGATGAAGGTTACTGGTGGAATAGAGAATACATGGCTGCCAGAGGCAGTGCTAGTGCTGTTCTAGGGACCATGGGAATCCCTTTTGGTTCTGAGAGAAGTGATACATGTGCTTGGTGGAGGGGAGTGGCCTGGGAAAAGAAGAGGAGGGTGTTGTGAGGCAACAGCAACATCTGACCCCACCTCTGCATGGGGGCTGTGCCGGCTGGTTGCTGCTTTAGGTTCTGGGGCAGAGGAGGAGCCAGGAGTTTCCAGAATGATGGAGGAACATGGAGTTCCCACTTTGGTTGTCTGAGAACTTCCTCTGAGTCTCACTAATTGCTCAACGCTCTACCTCTTTTTCTCCCAGATCTGTGTCTTAGTTGAAGCGATGGCAAAAGGCAACATTCAGAAACAGCCAGATTTGTGTGTGTGTGTGTGTGTGTGTGTGTGTTTCTTTCTTTTTATGAAACAGAGTCTCAGGTACCAAAGGCTACCCTTGAACTCCCTACGGAACCAAAGAACACCTTCAACATCTGATCCCCCTGCCTCTACGTCCAGAATACTGGGAAGGGCTAAATGACTGTGCCTCCTCCTCTGCCCCCACCTCTCACACTTCTCATCTCCAGGCCTGTGTTCCTTACCTTCTTGTTTCTGAGAGACTACAGCAGACTACCATAAGGGCAGGGCTTCTTTTAGGCTTGTGTGGATTTCACTGGATGGGGCAGACAGAGTGTTTGTAGAATTTATTTGTTCTCTCACTACAGAAAAGACACGAAATGTGTACAAAAGGATACTCTATGCCTCCAGTGGAAATCGCTTGTTCACAGCTAGACAGAGGCTTTCTAACGTCACGATGGAGCCAGGGCTGCAGAGGTGGTCCCATTGTCCCATTTACAGACCTCTGCATGCACCTGCCATCAGGGAGTGAAGAGCTGCGGCTGCAGCGATACGCGGAGATTTGACCTCAACAACCACCACACACACCATTATAAAAAAGTGTATTAGAAAGGACTTGAAACAATATTGCATATTAACATCTGGTCACGTTATTCACAGTGCGTGTTGTAGCACCAGATGTGCATGTGCTTCTTGTTGGTTGATGCCCGTACATCTCAAGTCTAACTGTGGCTCACTTTAAGGTTAAAAACAAACAAACAAACAAAAAAAACCATGGGTGTTAAATGTGGGAGATCTGGGATTTAGAGTTTATCCATTCTTATTGCTGGAACTGAAGAAGAGAGGAGTAGATGATACATCATGATATGTCTACATAAACCCAGTTCATCTCAAGTTTGTTTTTGGCAAGATGATGTTACGAGAGTCACAATGCACTCAAGAGCAAGCGAAGGAAGAAAACAGCACAAAATAAGACACGTGCATAAAACAAAGTCCCCATCGCCATGACGAGCGCCTCTGCTTCTCAATAAAGACTCTAACATTTTATTATGTGGTCCATTCTAAACTGGAAACAGAACGTGCTGTTATCTGAAGCCAGTGGTGCTGGGACAATGCAATGGTAACATAGCGATGCTCCTGGCTCTCATCAGGACACCCACACACTAAGGTATGAAGCACAGAAGGGACCTGGGACAGGAAGCTGGGGTAACAGGGAGGAGATGGAAGGTGAAATGGTGACTTCTAGCTCTCACTAACAGGTCAGCCTGCTCTTAGGAACCCTCCTGCCTCTGACAGCTCCTCTTAAAAGACAACATGAGGGCGTGTAATCTCGGCACACTTCATCACAGGGCGACACCAAAGACACACATCATACAGCAGAACAAACCACAGAACGAAACGTGAGGTCATGCAAAACCCTACTTTACCAACTAAAGAAAAATACCATCAACTTTTGATACAGAATATAGCCACCTTCAAACATAATTTAATTACTTGTGGACATAATATGAAACCTTATCTTAAATACAATAGTTTCAAAAAATGCTGTTACAATATAAAACCACAACAAAAGGTGTGCAAACAGACATATCAGCTAAAAAAAAAAAAGGCAGTGAGAGCAAGGGGTGAAGCATTCTAGAACACAGCTCCTGAAGCCACTATTTACAATCCTGCTTTAACCTCTGAATGCCAGCGGCAGGGGTAGGGGTGAGGGTTGGAGCCATCTTCCTTGGACCAGCTGACCCTGAGGCTCTCACAGATAAGGACAAGAGTGAACAGGAGCTGCCAGCAAACTGGAGGCTTGGAAGGCTGTCACCTGGACTATATGAATTTGGGTAAGGCCAGCCTTTCTCCGTAACTGCATACTGAACAAAAGTCGCTCACAGCTCCCAGTTCCTCAAATTCTCCCTTTACTCAGTGTAAATCATTACAGTCGCAATTTCATCTTTACTTTCAAAATGCCACATTGTTCTGGAAGCAGAGAAATCCACACTGAAGAGTGCCACGTCCGCGAACTTCATTCCTGAAACTGAACTCAGAAGCATTTGAGGAAGTGTATTCTCAAATGCGCATACGGAATTCATCCACTTCCCAAAGAATCAGTTCAGCTTGAGGCTGCTGACTGGGACAGGCTTCAAGTGCTTCTTATTTGTGGAAAGTTTCCCACACTTTCCACCAGCTTAAAATTTAGATCAGTGATGTGCCCCCAGGGAACACCTGGGAGACAGTTTTGGGTATCAGCTAGGATGCTACTGGCATCTACTGGGCAGTGACGAGGGAATCCTGCTAGGGAAGCCACAATTCACAGAACAGTCACCAGCAGCGATGACAAGCCCCCTGCATCAGGAGGGCTACGACTAAGAACCCGTGCTTTAACCCCAGTGCTGCTATAGACAATCCCCCCTCCAGTTCTTTGGAAACCCCTCAGAGAGTTCCTATGAAGACAGTGCTGTAAACATTGACAATTATATACTTTTCATTTCATTGAGGTGGTGGAGGGTAATGGTCCTAATACTGACTCTTAAGAGAGGCCTGTCCTGTTGAGAACCTCCAGCTACCTGACTTGGTTTCAGTGTGGCATCCCTGTCTTGGTCTGCCTGGACCAGATCTCACCTCTACCACCTCACATGCCTCTTTCCTGTGATATCTGGTGGGCATTCCTCTCTGGGAACCTGAACGGGTCACACCGTGGCCCCAGACATTCCAATATCCTAATACCTTTACCTGGTCAAGGGTGCATGGTTCCTGTCCTGCTTATGTGAAAACACGTGGTATTTGGTGTTTATGCTGAAGAGTTTCAGATCATTTAGAATTTTTGTTTAACAGCAAGAATATTATGTGCTTCAGCCATTGAGATGCTGGGCTCATATATTTCCTAAAAATGGTCATTCTGAATAGTGGTTTGATAGGCTTTCAAACAAAAATAACACACAGTGTGAGCAGGGAAAGGTGGTTATCAGACTAAGATAGCCAGGTCCATAGCTATAATCAGAACAGGGATTCAGCTGGAACGAAGTGATGGGGTTGGACTTTGTTGGGCTAGGTTCTGATCCCAGGTCCAGACAGTCCAGGGAAGAAAAGAAGCCCAGACAACTGAGCGTGGGGCTTAGAAGAAAGCTTTGGCTTCGGAGGGATCTTACAGAGCAAGAAGTTTAAAGCAAGGTCTCAGTTTCGGGACTGGGGTCTAAAATGCAGTAATGAGCTTTGGGGATAGGGCTACCCCCAAAATGCCCACAGGAGTTTGAGCCCATCTCACTGGGCGACAAGCCCCCAGAGGCTGGGTGTGACCAGGCCAACGAAGAGGAGTCTACAAGGCTCTCCAATCCCCTTCCCTTCTTGCCCAGATGAATCCTAGACACTTGTCCAGACGCCATGTTCCCATTCATTATGTGACTTAATAGCATCTTTAAAAGATCAACCTTCGGCCCTGGCCTCCACACAGACTGTGTCCTTGCTCCTCCCCAGCTGCCTTATAGCTATCTGGTCCTGTGGCTCACCTGTGGAGCTCCCTGAAATGGCCCCAAACCAGTGGCTATAATGTTTTAGGAAGATTTGGAGAATCCATGGGGCATAAACTTTGCTTAAGGAAAGGTTCTCTTTGCTCCTTCTTGGATAATTCTCTTATTCAATTCTCTGAAAATTCAGGCTCTGTCGGGTGGTGTTGGAGTGGGTCAGAAAGCCACTGGTCAGGGAAATCTCAGCTGGCAGTCAACAAAACCGTCTAGAAGGGTGGATGTTCTGAATGCTCCCAATGCAATGCAATCCTGTCTCTAACATTAAAAACTTGTCTTCTAACACAAATCAAATCCCAAACAACCAACTTAAAGGAACAAATGCTGCCTGCAAATCCACACCCAACATTGTCCGCTGTGGGTTCAGCTGCCAGGAGGGAGGCATAGGCAGCTATCTTTGTGCTTCTGTGAGGCCTGGCCGGGTTTAGTTCAGGTGGTAGCGATGTTCCCCCCGTGTGATATGGGATGAGAACTCGTACCTGTCCTGGCTGTGATAACCACACATGTTACACTCAAAAGGATCCCGGAAGCCATGGCAGCCCATGTGGATGGTGTACATGACGTGATCCAGGAAGAGCACGCGGCAGTGTTCACACTTGTACACCTTCAGCTGCTCGCCACTCGTGCTGATCACGCGGAAGGCATCCTGCGAGTTCTCTGAGGCTGCCCTCAGCACCTCATAGGCACGCTGCTCCTCCTTGAGGGCCAGCCCATTGCGCACATGCGGGGTGATGTGGTTGGTCAGGTAGATGAGGCCGCCTCGCTGCTCCTCAGCGTTGCTCTCGGTGTCCGTGGAGTCTTGGCAGCTGTTGCTCGGGGAGGCCTCCCGCTCCGATGACACAGACTTGGCCTTGGACAGCAGCAGCAAGTTCTCCACGGCGCTATCCTGCGCCGAGTGGTTGGGCCGTGGGGGACCGTCTGCGGGGGGCTTGTGCAGCTGGTACATGGAGTTGATGACCGGCCCCACCTCGGAGCTTCCGGGAGGTGTCTGCACCAGCGGGCGCAGGGACTCAGCCCCCAGATAGGTGATGGCGTTGTTGATGGCTTCGTCCATCACGTGAGATGTCATCAGCCCGTCCTTCTCATAGCTGGCACTGTCATAGGGCATGTCTGACAGACACTTGTCTCCTGTGGGAAGTAGGTGACCATTAGTAAATCTATACCCAGGAGATTGGAAGGTGGACTAGTGTGGCAGCAGACAGGAGACATTTGCCCAGGCACAGGAGGGAAAAAGGGAACCGCCTGTTCAGGGTCTTACTATGGGTAAGTCTTTTGAGAAATTCTGCTTATCTATGAAGAGGGAGACTAAAGACTGTCCGTGTCAGCTTAAACTGTGCCATGTTTCACAAGGCTAAACGTCATCTTTCATTAAGTAAGGTGAAATTAACACTATTATATTGACTTTAAATATTTTAAAAGTTTCCTAAATGCATATTATTTAATTTATCCCAAAATTGTTTAATTAAAATCCACAGCCATGAATGAATTCCTGTAATAAATTTAAGATACTATATTACATTTATTACTTTAATCTAGAAAAACATGTCCTTAAAACATGATTACATATTAGTTATACTAAACTATTTCTTATAAATATTTCAAAAGGGGATGAACTCTAATGAATGATGAAAGTAGAATGACTACATTAACATAACTGTATGCACCCTCTCTTCAGAGTTAGCAGCGGTGAATTATCTCAGCAGAAATCGGAAGTGGGAGACAGAGCTGGAAGGCAGGCACCATTCACTTACTGTTTACAGGCACGCCTAATACTAAAGATGGATGAAACTGAGAATTCAGTGGTGACTTGATATGGAGTATTTGTTGAACCATGTAAAGATGTGTTGCATTTGTTGAACTATGTAGACATGTGTTGCTGTTGCTTATGCTGTATTTGTTTAATTATGTAAAGATGAGTTGTTGTTTTATATTGTTACCTGATAGGTCTAATAAGCTCAATGGCCAATAGTTAGGCCAAGGAAGGATAGATAGGCTTGGCAGGCAGAGGGAAAAGAGGAGCCAGCTAGGGGCCAGCCAGCCAGCCGGACACAGAGGAAGCAAAAGGGAGGATGAATAGAACATAGTTGACATAAACAAGTCTTGGAGCAGCAATAGCTTAACAGAAATGGGTTAACTTAAGTGAAAACTTGCTAGAAGCAAGCCCAAGCTAAGACTGAACATTCATAATTAATAATGGCTTCATGTCTTTATTTGAGAGCTCTTTGGTGGCCCAAAGAAAATCCCCACTACAAATGGTACCCAATATGGGACACAAATTTCTACATAGGGCCCGAGAAAGCTGGAAAGAAAAACAACGCGGCTTCCTAGTAGCCTGGCTCATGGCATGCAGAGGTGAAGCTCTGCCACACAGCAAGCACCTGAGCAGCTGGCCTGCCATTAAGCAGAAACAAGCTAAGTAAAAAGGCCTGCTGTACTGTGGGCACCGACTTCTAAGAGCTGGGGTGATTAAATAACTCAGCTCTTGGCCAGGTCTATGGGGCATCAAGTTTGGCCCTCACAGACCCAAGCAGGGTGGATCCAGAGCCAGTGCAAAGTTGTGCAGAGAGTTTAAACTTTGGTTTACACGGTCAGAGAACACTACAGGTACACGGTAAAGCAGGTCCAGAATGAAAAAAGCCTCTAAATAGGTTACAGTGTGTTTAAAAATGTACACAGGGGCTTAAGAAAGAAAAGAAAATGAGTATAGACAGTTGTAGTAAAAAAAATAGTTTAAAAATAGTCTTTAAAAAGAGAGTAAAGTAATATAAAGTGGAAAAGAGCCACACAAAGAAGGGAATACACAGAGAATCTGGATCCCATGTGGTGTTGTCCTAACTTTGAATTTTTTTGAACGCCCATGAGCAAACAAGAGCTGCTGAGAGACACTGGACTTTAAAAGGGACTGCTGAATTAAACCAGCCTGGACACTTGAGGGATGTCTTAATTTTAAAATGGAATTTAGAAAATATGTTGCATCGGGAAAGAGGTTATTCTTCTGTTTCCTTAGGAAATGAAAGGTTGTGGATTTTTTCATAGTTAATAGAGATCATGTTTGATGAGCAGAGACTTCCTGAAAATTTTGGCTACAGACATAAAGAAATAAACTAAGAAAAAAAATACAAGACAGATAATGTATATGCTGATCCCTGTGCACGGGAACAGTTCTGAAACTGGACAACAAATGTTACAACTAGCTTTCCCAGAACTCGATCATTGTCTCAATTTTCTCAGAGTTGCCTCCAGACAGCAGGAAACAGCCTAGACAACACAACACCTACATTCCTGAGAGGTGGGGTAGGCGGTTTTTTGGTCATTTGGTGGGTTTTGGATGTTTGTCATCACTTAGGGGCTATATAAGAATATAGGATAATAAAACAACTATTAACCTCAAATATTTTATAATGGTGCAAATTTTGGTATATTTATACAAAGTTAAAGTTATTTTTTGTATGTATGTTTCTCCTCTTGTTTGGGGTGTTGTGCTTATGCAGCTCATCAAAAATGTAATATACAATTAAGAAATGTAGGTTAGTAGTCATCTATAATAATCAAACTTGTGGCTATATTGGGTAAGTTTTCAAGGTTCTACAGATATATTTTAGATAGGTGATCTTCAAATACTTCAGAGACCTTCAGGATATGGAATTTAAGAAGTTTAATAACCTAAGGCTTTTCATGACAGTGAGACACATCTTCTCCTTGCAGCATCAATCTATTTCATAAAAAGACAATGGGCATTGAAGAACCTCCATATGGGGTTGGCTTTTATTGTGTCAAAGCTAGATATTTGGACAAGAAACTGTCTTTGCCTCAACAGCTTAATGTTTTAATATTCAAACAGGACATGAAGATTACAAAGGAAAAGTGACTGCAGAACTTTGTCAAGACAAAGCAGGACAGTCCTTCAAAACTGTCTTATAGAAAGGTCTACCAGACATTCTAGGCTCAAGATGGATGCTCAAATGTTGCAGAGGAACCTTGGGTGACTGTCCAGACAGCCACATACCTCTGTTGTTTCTATATTTTTAGAATTTGCTTGCTCTAAACTTCTTGTTTACTCAGATAATACCATATCCTATTAAGTTGGAGACTAGATAGTTACAGTGTTTCCTTTAGTTATGATAGAAGGTAAATTAGGTACAGAGCTTTTGACTCATCAAGATAGGATAGATAGTAGAGGATTTCTTTGAATATGCCAAATGCAAAAGGACTGGATTTTGTAAATGTAATTCTGACTTAATAACTGTTCTAATTGTTTACAGTTTTTCTATGTTAAAGTTAAAATCTTTCCTTTTATCTAGACAAAAGGGGGAAATGTTGTGGAATATTTAATTAGGCAAAGAGGTGTTACTTTATTTTTGCTGCATTTGTTTAACTATGTAAAGAAGTGTTGCATTCGTGTTAGTTAAATAAAACTAAGCTGGACTCAAAGGGGCGGTGGTAGCAACTAGTGGGCAGGAAGTAGCAGGGAGGAGTATAGTGTGGGCATTTTAGTTGGGGCAGTGTGGAAGGAGAGGGGTTCCAGGGACACCAGCCAAGAGAGAAAGTCATCCAGTTGCTGTTCTAACTCTCTGAGCTTACAGGTCTTCACCGTAGCTTTTGGATGATAGAGATTTAGTTGAAGCTACCTTTAGTGGTAGCAACAGAGCCATTGTCTGGGGGGGGGGGAACAGAATCCCTAAGGCTATGGCCTGAGGAACTGGGCTGCAAGCAGCTGAAATCACATTCGCTGTGATGAAGGCAAAACAGCAGTGATTGGACCTGGGACTCAAGAAACTTAAGCTCTCATATGAGCCTAAGCTTGCGGCTCTCATGTTAGCTTTTGGACTACATGAACTCACTGCAGTCTGGACCTCAGATGCCCTCAAAGGCCCATGTTTTCAGGTATTGTCCAACCTGTGGCTCCTACCCAGATGTATCCCAGGTTAGCTCTGAATGTGTCTGAACCCATTTGCAGATATGCTGTTGAGAGGTTCTGGACTCTTTAGGGAGGACTTAGATTTTGGGGACTATATTCTCAAAGGGGATACAGGACCCTGACCTCTATCTATTTCTCTCTTGATTCATAGCCACAAGGCAAATATTTCTGCTCTATGATCGACTTATGTTCTTTTGTCACAGGCCCAGCACAACAGGTCCAGTCTTGGGAAGGAACCCTCCAAAGCTGCAAATCAAACTTCTTTATATAAGTTGAACATCTCAGATGCTCTCCTGTAGCGAGGAAAATTGAGCTAACGCAAACCTCCTTCCCTAGTGCCAATGGGAGATAAGGCTAGATTTGGCGTTGGGTAATTAGTTTTAAAGCAAATGTTTTGATAATGAAATAAAATGAATTTCTTTAGAGATTTATCTTCTCTCCAGGTCGTGGTGGCATAAGCCTTTAATTCAGTGAAGCACACAAAAGGCAGAGGCAGGCTGGGCAATGGTGGCATACACCTTTAATCCTAGCACTTGGGAGGAAGAGGCAGGCAGATCTCTGTGAGTTTGAGGCCAGTCTGGTCTACAGGGTGAGTTCCAGAGCAGCCAGGACTACACAGAGAAACCCTGTCTCAAAAAACCAAAAATAGGAAAAAAAGTTTTTTTCTTCTAAATGTTAAGTCTAACACAACTCTGGCAGCAAAGACATTCATCAAAGCAATTGTTTATATTCCTATTGTCAGGATTAGCCATGTGTGTGCCTTCTCGGTGATGGTAAATGAGGCAGGCAGCCCACAGAGCCAGATGCCCTGCTTACATTTCTCCTCCCACTCTGCCTCTTGCATCTTCAGTACATCTGGCTCGGCAGTGGGACTAAAAGGAAAGCCAGCGAGAACAGTCCCTGTCCTTGGATGCACACAGCTAGCCCGAGACAGACACACTCAATAGTGATGCCAGACTCCATCCCCACCTGAGAAATCCCATGAACACAGGAAGGCTCTCTGCCGGTGTCACACACGCATCTCATCTCATATGAGCCAGATGTGTGTGTGGGCTTCTGTGTCCCATGGCTGGGAACAGAGGGGCCTGGAGCTTTGGTGGGACAATGTGAATGTCTGGGGGTCAGAGCTCTAGAAGCATAGGAAATGTCCAATTCGAAGCCAGGATCACATCCTGGAACCTTAGACGAAACGAAGTTTCTTTAAATAAAA